ATACATTTTAAACTTTACAATATAAGTTATGTCTCAGTTATGTCCAGTATATTTTAATAGCACATAGTATTTATAATTTATTCTTTAATCGTTTGCATATCCACACCACTCGACAACTTCGCAGTGTATGTACATAAGCAAGACGATGTCAAATAATTTATCGATGATAACATAATAAATCCGAGGCATTAGGTATTTTATTTATATACCTAGCTAAATCCATACAAATTGGGTTTGTTAAGTCTCGATCAATTACCATGTCAATTAAAAATCTTTTTATATTTGTTATTATTTCTCGAATCTCTGTATTCTCATATAGCATTAATATAGAATTATTTGCAGTTATTATGTGTATATCGAAACACTCCGTAAAATTAAACCATTCCCCTTGTTCTGGATTTATGTGTATTTGTGTTGCTAAGTTTATATTAATTTCTTGTAACAATTGATTGGCTCTATCCATGTTTATTGAATCCTATAAGATAAATGTTATTATACTGATTATTATTTTATATTTATTTATTTATTTTATTAATTTTTTTTTTTTTTATTAGGTATATTTTTTAAAATGTTGAGCTAAATTCTCGTATTTATATTTCCTGATCACATAGTCAAATATACACTTCGTATAAATAACGTCTGTGCGAGGATCATGAGCATGTGTTAACTTATGCTTTTTATGACATATTTTATTGTGTGTTTCTTCCAGGTTCATTAATCTTCCCCTTTTGTCAAAATATCCTATCTCCAATTCAAATAGTACCTGTTTTATTCTAATTTTAATAAATCGTATTTGTGTTTGTATTTAGGTATTTCCAAAGATGGTATGGCTTTAGGAATTTTCATCGTTAAGCTAACTTCGCCCAACTTAGGTATGAAATTTACATAGAATTTTGATTTTATTTCCCCTAGTTGGATTTAAAACTATATCATTGGCATAAGCTCTGCAATCCTGATTTATATATATTAGTCCCTGATTTTGGATTTTTAAGATATATGGTTCTGTTTCCCTTTGACATGTTATCGTTAATGTGTCATTAATAGTTGTGTATAACCAAGTGTTTGAATATTTTAATTTATGATATATATTTTTGGTAATTATTATGACTCCAGCTTCACAATTGCTTGGTAAAATTTCTGGATTTTTAAATAAAGATATTTCACATGGTTGTCTAACCGATTCGTATTGTATTGGTTGAAACTCTGGACATATATTAAATAATTCCGTTTCAGTGCAACTTAATAACTGTGTTTCTGTAAAAGTAGTAAACTGTCGTCTATTTTTTGTTATTCCTACATATTGAAATTCAGGTTTTAATACTATACTGTGATTTTTATTAAATCTATGTGGTATTGGTAAGATTTTATATAAAGTTAGTTCAAGTTCGGTTACTAATGGAATTTTTATTAAAAATACTATTTGATTACCGCTATAGTACACCGCCATTTTAGTTATTTTACTTAATTCATAAATTTCGCTAGGCTGTGTTCCCATGGGAAAATTTAAATTGATTGGCAAATTTAATTTAATTTGTGTTAGTTGTTTAGCTAACTCCCTAGGAGTTACTAAACTTGGATGTAAAATTCCTGTTCTAGCCGAAGTTATTATTGCACTTATAGTTGTTGTCTCATAAGAAAATTGTGTTAGTAATGCAGTAAAAATACTATGTATTCGATTACTCAAAACTAAAGTTTCTACAGTATGTGTATGGTTAGCTGCTTCATTTAATTTTTTATAAAACATACCTTGCTTTTCACCTAATTCAATATATAATTTATTCATTTCTATAGAGGCACTACCTATTCCTTGTACTGCTGATTTTACTACAGTGGTTTGATTCTTTAATATATGTAACATATTCACATTACTATTTTCGATTTTCTGAATATTCTCAATATTTTCTAAAGTACAGTCATCATCACATACACCAAATAAAGTTTTCATAGCTGTTCCTATTATATTTACTAGACCTCTTTTATTCCTAATGACTACAGTGTTTACTTCCTTCATACTCTCATTTGTACTATTATACCTGCCAATAGACTCATACATTTGCTCCCTTTGTGAAGCTATTTCTACAAACGTTGATTTTAATATATTTGAAAACCTTGAACATATCTCATATTCTGGTAGTAAATCCTTACAATGACTTGTCATATTTAAAATTTCATTCGCTAACTGATTATACCTATTATCATAATTTACTAATGGCACATAAGTGACAAGTTCCCAATGTGCTCCTACAATTCGCAGATCTCCTTGATTTTCGAAAAATATTGTTGTTTCGTTTTTAAATTCTTCATTAGTAAACGGTTGTTGTCCCACAGCACCAATTGTAGTTATACATAATAACCTATACAAAGATATATAATTAGGAAAATTATTCATACGATAAAAATGGATAAAAAAATTTTTTTATTATCAGTTATGTATTACACATTGGTCTTACACATATCTAAAATTTAGAGTTTGGTCTTTATGTGTTGATTCTATCACATGTTACAGCTTTACTGTAGGTCATGTAACACGTGACAGATACCTATATTTCTGACCCTGAACCCTTTCTACTCATGAAGTTTATTGATCTTATTCTCATAGTACAATTCATCATGAATCGACTCCATGGACTAGTGGTCGTCATACTGTTCTTTCCGCGTTATTATTATATTTCTAGCCAAATTTTTCAGAGCTATTAATTCTAGTTTGGTTTCTTTCCCCGTTAATTCTGGTGGATCTGTACATCTTATTACCGTTGTTGCATAGCCAATTGGTCGATTAAGTTCTTTGTTCACAGATAATTATATAATTAATAATAATAATTTATAATAATTCTTATTTCATTGGAACTGTTTTTATACCTTATTTAAATAAAATCATTTATTACTTATTATTTAATAACTTTTTTTTTTTTTATTTATATTTACTTTAATTTCTACTATATTTTATCAAATAGGATTTTCATGATATTTTTTAACATTATTTTTATGTACCGTTACTTTACGTCTTCCCCTTTGAATTACAATATTTTCAGAATCTAATATTTCTGTGATATTTGGTAAAGGGTGAAATTAATTTAGTGTTACTTGATTTAATTTTTTGAAATCTATGACATTACGAAATTTTTCCTTCCCACTGGCATCAGCCTTTTTCTTTACTAACAATAAGGGTGCATTCCATGGTGAATTAGAAGGTTCTATTATTCCATCTTGTTCCATTTTATCTAATTGATTCTTAATTTCTGCTTGTTGTGAGTGAGGTAATCTATAGGGTCTTTGATAAATAGGTTGTTGATTATGATTTAAATTAATAACATGCTCTGCAGCATTTGTAAAAGTTAACCGATCTCCCTCCAAATGAAATATTTCTGCATATCGTTCACATATCTCAAATATAGACTGTTTTTCCTCAACATTCATATGATCACTTCGTATTAAATTCAAAATTATGTCTTAAAATAAAAGAATTTGCCCAGTCATATCCCGATAATTGTTTTTCTTCATTAAATCGATGTTCAATGTTATTTTTTAATGCAAATTGATATGCTAATTGTTGTAATTTTTTAAAAGATAGCCCATAAAATCTATCGTCCAAGTCTTTACAATGTTTTGATAACTCTTTTTCTTGTTCATCGTTAAATGTTCTTTTAAAACGCCCCAACGATGATACACCATGCCCAACTTTTAACCTTTTTCTTAGTGCTGACTCACCTATCCCTAATTGCATTGCTGCACTACGAGTTGATACTCCGGTATCAATTAAATTTTTTGCAGCATTATATATTACTTCAGTAATTGGTACACGGTTCGTTTTTCTTACATGAGTTCTAAAATGAAAATTGTAAAGAGGAGATTGGTAGATATTTAATAAAATAAAGTATCTAATTAGAAAATTAAATTGTTATTGGGCCGGGGTAAGAGTACGTACTGCGAACTTTTACCCCAAATTAATTTCGTACTCTTACCCCAAATCAAATTGTTTAACATAATCATCATTATCTATTTGCCTGTGTAACGATACTAATTATACGACTCTTTTAATATAAAGTTTAGAAAATATTATAACATTTGATTAACAGTTTCATACCTAATACAAGTGATATTAAGTTTAAATATACTTAAGAAAAAACTACAATATTACATCAGATGATTAAATAATTTAGCTTACCTCATGTTAAACAAAATAATGTTCCAACCATGTGCTAACGTGCAATGATAAAATAATCGTTGATAATAAACAGTTTGGCCATATATTAAAAATTAAATTTATAGTGGAGGAATTGGACTCTTACCTCATGCGCACTTTTACCCCAGGCTACTCTACTTTTATTATTTAAATCTTTCTCTCGTATAGATTATAAATATTTTTCCTTATTTAAATCTACCAAATAATGATATCCCCATAGGCGTAAATTTGGCTTGCTAGAAGGGGGGGCTAACGCTAAGATTATAATTTATAATTTATAACATTAGAACTTTATAACAAGCCTACTATGCAAGCTTTTTCCTCCCCCTCACCATCTACATCCAAATTTTACAATTTAAAAACATGTATATAAATACTTCAAAATTATTTATTAAATAAAACCATACATAATTTAATTCAAATATTAATAAGTAATAACAATTAACATCATCTTAATATTACTTTAACATAATATATTTATGTTCCTCTGCGAATTGCTTAAGAATGATATCTTTATTAATATTTTTGGTATCGTTTTTTTCTATGTACAATATAGACACCTGAGTAAATCTATCTTGTAACATAGACGTTCGTAACCATGTTTTTATTCGGCGCATGGCCGAAAAGCTTCTCTCACACGTGGAAGAACTAATAGGTAATGTTATAGCTACTTTATACAAATGAAACAAGTTTGGGTAAACATTTTCCTGTAAAATAAGTTTTAAGTTATCTGTTATTAATTCTTTTGAAGTACCATATGTTTGGATTATAACGTTTTTAGCGACGATCATTTCAGCTTTCAACGAATCAACAGAAGTCAGAAATACTTAACAAATCCTAAAGAAATATAAAATTAAGTATTAGTCAATATATACACTATACAGCTATACAATATACATATTTACTTTATAATGATCAATGAATTAAGTACTTAGTGCAAAATCTAGTTTGAAAAAGTTATCTATAGATGTTGCCATTTCTAAACTTTCGGGCGTGAATCGTTTATTCATATTCTCAATTATACAATCCAATATAGGAAAATAAGCATGACATCTGAAATAATCTTCTTTACTTTCCTCTAATTCCTCAGGAGTGTTGTATTGAGCACTTGTAGTTGTACTCATGACAAAACTTGATAGGCTTTTTGGCTGTAACCTTTTTCTTTTACAACCTATTTTACAATTTAAAAAACAACAAACATTATTTAATGTTTATATTTATTGTACTAATATTATTTATTATTATATTATGCATACTTTGAAATGGTTTTTCAATTGTTAAATTATGGTCTTCACAAAATTGTAATATTTCTTTCCACATTTGTGAAAACGCAACAGGATTTCTTAAATCTTCGAACGATTTAATAACACTTTTTATTACATTTGCCGCATTTCCTAGTGTAGCTGTCTATGACTGAAGTTGATTTGATAATATATTAACCATAGTAAGCACCTTTTGAAGAATAAATAAATGAACATATTCCTTTTTGCATATTGGTCAGAATTCCTGAAAAATTAAAAAAATTGATTGTATAATTAATAATATAAATTAGGTAGTTCATTTAATTATAAGAAATAAAAATGTTTAAATTAGTAATAAATTATAATTGATACCTATTGCTTCGTTAACATCTTTATCATTATTGTTTTCAATTTCTTCTTTTAATAATCTTATGATAGAAGCATAACATTTTTGTACAGCTTCACAATTTTTATATCGACAGTTCCATCTTGTGTCACTCAGTCGTGTTAAAGTCTTTTTTTCAATACCTAATTTTTTTTGAATGTCAATGAGATTTTTATTTCCGCTGGTTGAGAAAAGTGAACATATAATGACTCTAATGTATGAAAAACATTTCTTGATTCCTTTAAAGCAAACAATATGATAAATATACCTACCTAATAATACACAATAAATTCACAATATTATACTATATTTTCAGTTTTCACATACCTTTTCAGTTTTACACATATCAAGCACTACAAGGTTGACTCTATGAGCCATACAATGGGTATAAATAGCATATGGATATTTACATTTTATTAAAGCTTGTACACCATTAAATCTCCCAGACATAACACTAGCTCCATCGTAAGACTGGGCTACCAGTTTAGCATTAGAGTTTAATCCACATTCCTTCAAGTATTTGAGTATATATTCACAAAGAGATGGAGCATTTTGACTTTCAGAGCAGTTAATGAAACCAATGAACTTTTCAAAAATGTCTAGCCCTTTACAATAGCGTATACATAAGGCCATTTGTTCTTCTTTATAGCAACTGCAATATAAATAGGTAATCAAATAATTTTTAAGCTAAATAGATTATACTATAATAGGTTATGGCACTATAGACATAGTTCATTAAGAATATACCTTGGATAAATTAAAGGTAAACATATTTGTTTTAATGTTTAATTCAAAAATATATTACCTAGCTTCATCACACATTATACCAAATACACCATCGCCTACTTCTGAAATGATCTGGTCTCTTACATTTTTTGCACACATTTCAATAATGCTATTTTGAACTAAAGGACTAGTGTAATTTGTAGTTTTCAAAAATTTTAAAGAAAACTCAGGTACATATTTGGACATTAATTGACATGCTTCCTTGAAATTCCCTATAAAAATTAAACATTACCTAATAAATAATTTATTAAATGATTAATTATATTGTACATAAGTTAGGTCTTAGGTACCTATATTATAATTTATAAAATATAATAATTGTTTTATACCAACATTAAAAAATAAATATCTACCTTTATTAAGTGAATCAGTAGACTCGTCATGACCTCTAAAAGGTAGCCCCTGGCAACTTAAATATAATGAGATATCAATCAATGTTTTTATATAACTTTTATTAGCTTCAACCTCTAATTTATGCTGTGTTGATAATTGTGTATGCACACTACCAATTGTCTCAGTATTCTTATGCCCTAACCATTTAGCAACACAAGTAAGATGGCTTTTCGTACTAGCATGAGCTTTAAGCTTAGTCTGTTTTTTTCCTGTAATGCCTCTAGACCCACTTAACTACAAAAATTAAAAAACAAAGTTAACACTGCCATAACTACTAATATAATAGTTAATACAATATAGGTACAATATTATAATTTAATAATCATTACATTCAATAATAATTAATAATTAAATGTTAAAAGTTTTAAAAATAAAATTGTTATGATCTGTTATAATACATACTTTTTTCCAATTTCTAAAGCCAGTTTTTGAAAATGTTCCTTCATTATCGTTGGCACTAAAATTGCGACATGGAAAGCAATACAAAGCATCATTTTGTATACTGTATTCTAACCAATCGTATTCGTTAAAGTAAGAAGCATTAAAACAACGTTTTTGATTTCCAAATTTGGTCATAGGGTAAGACTGAAAAAGCATTTAAAAATATTTGTTTAGTTTCTATTAAGCACTATTAATAACCAATTAGTAGGTAATGTAAATTACGCTATGCAATGTTATATAATTATTATAATTACCTTTAAAACTGGTCTTATAGGACCAGATTGTAAATCACCAAGATCAATTTTTTCGTCATTTTTTAATAAATTTTTATAGTTAGTAGATTCATCGTCGGTTTCATTTAAACACGATGTGCTGCTAGAAAAGCTAGAGAGGGCTAATAATTCAGAATCAACGCTATCGGAATCATTATCCGAATTACTTTTCAATTTAGGTTTGTTTAAGCTAGTTAATTTATCTGGTTGAGGTTTTGTAAAATTGAAAATATCAAACACACGTTGTTTACTCATGGTCACAAACTCAAAAAGTCAAAACTCACAATAAAATTAATAGTTAATTATTTAAGCTTTAACGTTACCACAGAAAAAACACTAGCTTCTCAATGAATAGTTTTAAAACTTTTAATATTACCACAGAAAAAACCACCGGCTTCTCATCTATAACTGGATAACTTTTAGTTTCAGTGTTCACTGTTTAGTGTTTAACGTCGTAGCATACACAATAATGATTTTTGCAGACTGCAGTTGTCGTAAACTCGTAATCGTAATAGCTTGTGATTTGTATTGGGTTTTTACATAAACATAGACGATTGTGATATGATAAGCGTTATTAATAGACACTAAGGCCTAAGAATCTAATATACTTCCAACTTCGCGTAAACATATTACATAACCTGTTATTATTGTTGTCGTTATAAAACAATCATTTCTAATTTTATTACAATACAAAATCTATTACTTAAACGTTCATATATCATAATATAATCTTATACCTACCTATCGGTGCTTTCCTGCTTAGGAATTACGTAATAAATTGAATTATTTTTCTAACAAAAAATTGAAATTTGGAGATTTAAAATGAGGGGGCTATACTATTTTTTAGGGGGGCTAAGCCCCCTAAGCCCCCCCCCCCCAATTTACGCCTATGTTTATAGTTGTAACTTATTAGTTACTAAGTCACACCAAGAGTTCAAGAATTATATAAATTATAATACCCACTTCCTTCATAGGTATACTGTATACTATAATATATAAAACATATAATTATTTAAATAATGTTTATGATGTGGAGTTGTGGACTGTGGTAAGGTTTTATTCCCTTTTCTATGGGCTATAATTCTACTCACTAGTCACTGCGTACAAATCGTATGAACCACGATTTGTAAGTTACGGACTAAGATATCAATATATCTTAGTCCGTGGTTTATGATTATGAACTAACTGTTGTTATCACGCAGATAAGAACTGTAAAATGTTTCCTGATACTCTGTTTATACTGTTGATAAACTGTTCCGATGAAGGGTCATTATAAATANCTTCATTATCGTTGGCACTAAAATTGCGACATGGAAAGCAATACAAAGCATCATTTTGTATACTGTATTCTAACCAATCGTATTCGTTAAAGTAAGAAGCATTAAAACAACGTTTTTGATTTCCAAATTTGGTCATAGGGTAAGACTGAAAAAGCATTTAAAAATATTTGTTTAGTTTCTATTAACTATTAAGCACTATTAATAACCAATTAGTAGGTAATGTAAATTACGCTATGCAATGTTATATAATTATTATAATTACCTTTAAAACTGGTCTTATAGGACCAGATTGTAAATCACCAAGATCAATTTTTTCGTCATTTTTTAATAAATTTTTATAGTTAGTAGATTCATCGTCGGTTTCATTTAAACACGATGTGCTGCTAGAAAAGCTAGAGAGGGCTAATAATTCAGAATCAACGCTATCGGAATCATTATCCGAATTACTTTTCAATTTAGGTTTGTTTAAGCTAGTTAATTTATCTGGTTGAGGTTTTGTAAAATTGAAAATATCAAACACACGTTGTTTACTCATGGTCACAAACTCAAAAAGTCAAAACTCACAATAAAATTAATAGTTAATTATTTAAGCTTTAACGTTACCACAGAAAAAACACTAGCTTCTCAATGAATAGTTTTAAAACTTTTAATATTACCACAGAAAAAACCACCGGCTTCTCATCTATAACTGGATAACTTTTAGTTTCAGTGTTCACTGTTTAGTGTTTAACGTCGTAGCATACACAATAATGATTTTTGCAGACTGCAGTTGTCGTAAACTCGTAATCGTAATAGCTTGTGATTTGTATTGGGTTTTTACATAAACATAGACGATTGTGATATGATAAGCGTTATTAATAGACACTAAGGCCTAAGAATCTAATATACTTCCAACTTCGCGTAAACATATTACATAACCTGTTATTATTGTTGTCGTTATAAAACAATCATTTCTAATTTTATTACAATACAAAATCTATTACTTAAACGTTCATAAATCATAATATAATCTTATACCTACCTATCGGTGCTTTCCTGCTTAGGAATTACGTAATAAATTGAATTATTTTTCTAACAAAAAATTGAAATTTGGAGATTTAAAATGAGGGGGCTATACTATTTTTTAGGGGGGCTAAGCCCCCCTAAGCCCCCCCCCCCAATTTACGCCATAGGATATCCCTCGTCTGTACTTAAATCAATTAATAATTCGTTACTTCCTATTACTGTTTTATCGTTACTTTTATCGTCAATAGTTTTTATTTCACTACAATTATCGCTTATTACTGCTTCGTTAATTATTTCTTTACTTTTGGTTTCCTCAACCTCTTTAACTTCTGTTACCAAATTTTAACCAATTTTTTATGTTCAATTATCTTATTTTTATTTCCTTGACTCATTAAATTAATTTATTCACTAAATTAAATCGTAGTATTTTACACGGTTATTATTTTAATACGTAAAATCTATAACTTATTTATTATTCACCAATAAACCCATAAATGTATTCAATACGTACTACTAAAATATTTATTACAACAAATACAATTTTACTCTTAATATATTTTTTTATTATTATTATTATTATTTTTTTTTTTTAATTTTTTTTTTATTAGAGCTTATTACGGCCTTACAAAATTTTTTCTAATTCACAATTAAAACTTTAATATAATTTCAACATATATTTAAGGACTTATCACGGCCTTATAAACTCAATTTAATTTATTCAAATATCTCTCAATAATATCTAAGGACTTATTCCGGCATTAATAACTTCAATAAAATTCTTTTAACTTTTCACCAAAAAGGATTTATTCCGGCCTTCAATTAATTAATTCGTAAGACTTATGCTTGCCTAAATTCATCACAATAAACAACAATAAATTCAATATTCTCAACAATGAAGGACATACTTATCGGCCTTTAAATAAAACTCACAAATATAAACTCAATAAAAATTTCTCAAATTAGGACTTACCACTCGGCCTATAAAATTCAACAAAAATTAGACTTCAACTTGTCTAATAAAATTCAAAACACAAGGACTTACCACACGGCCTTTAAAATTCCCCAATAAAATAGACTTCAACTTGTCTAATAAAATTCAAAACAGAAGGACTTACTACACGGCCTTTAAATAAAATACTCAATTACTTCTCAATAATTCACAATAAAAATTCTTTTTAACTCTCAATAATATTCACTAATTTTTTTTTTAAACAATTCTCAATTTAATATCTCTTCTTCTCTTTTTAATATAACTATTATTATATTCCCAATATAATTCTCAATAATATTAACTTTATTCACTAATTTACCTAGTACACACCATGAATGTTCTTCAGATGCCTGTTGAGGTTGTTTTTGTACGAAAATGTCTTAGAGCATGCAGTGCATGGAAAACGTACACCTGCATGCTTCATTTGGTGAGCGATAAAATTACGTTTTGCGGAGAAAACTGACGGGCACTGATCACACTTATACATTTTTACGTAAAGTAATAGCGAAATAAAAACACGAAACGTACGGTGTGAATAATGTTTAAAACGCAGAGAAATAAACACTTGTAAAAATATTTTAAAGACTGAGAGAGTAAATATACGTGAACAACGNAATATACTCACAAAACCTTTATACTTGCTCAGAGTTGCTCTCTATATTATATTATTTTCCGCGTTATATTTTTATCTACACAATGTTTCTAGTGATAGTAAGTAAATTAAAAATATTTCGCCGTTGGTCATAACCTGGAGGTTACGCAACCGTCATGTACCGCGAGACGTATTAGATATAATAATATTATGCTACAGCACGTGTTCGCGTATATTAGGTACATTATTATATTATATTTTGGGATGAGAGTTGTCCTTTTCGCAATGGTATTATTAAAAAAAATTGTGTACGCATTTAATTTATTTGCGTTTATAATAATATATACGTTATATCATAATATTATGGCTATAACGCGATTATACAGAGTGGGCCACAGTATTTGCCGTTTTCAATTGTCAAGACGTGTACCTATACATTATACGAGAAAACGGGAAAGGCAGTGCACCCTTCCCACCATGTAGGGTGTACACAATTATACACGTGCTCTGCGCATTTTGGCTTTTTTTTTTTAATGCGCAAAATATACCATAGGTACACGCGTTCTAGTGCGATGGGCCGACCCTGGGAGCGATAGGACGATGATGCCGACGGTTTGCAACAATATATTTTATCATTATTATTGTTTCGGGCATCACCTGCGTCCGCTGTATATTTACTATTTACAACCCGTATCTACGTTACAATATTATGTCTTTCTTTTTATTCTGTACGCGTGCACCAAGGTGGATATCTGCCAATGATGTCGGGATACAAATAGCCCGGGCCGCCGTTTGGGTTGGCCAAAAATCGCGGTTCCCCGACATGACGTTCAGTGTTCGCGTTCCATTCGGCCCGTCGTCGACCGACCTGGCCGCCGCCGTCTGAGCAGCAGCCATGGACCCGAAAATCACCTAGGTAAGTCATCATCACATCTCGCATACCTCGGGTGCACTAGACGTGCATATTACGACGATACCATATTGGACCAACCCGATTTTTTACTAAAACTATACTGCACTACATAGTTCGCGATACATATTTTTATTATTATTATAAAAGTTATCGTCGATCGTTAAACACGCGCTATACTGTAGAATAAACTACTATACCAACCGCGCGTAGCAGCCACAGACGTTTAGGCACCTACTCGCTGCATATTATTATAATATATTATTATTACCCATACACTATATTATGTAAAGAACAAACGCACAGAAAAATAACATAATATTATCGTATTTTATTCCATCCGAGAAACACTGCGTATAACGCCTTAACGAGTGGATCGTTATTATTATCATCACCCGTTCCGTAAGACAAACATCATTTATATAAATACACTAAAAAATGTATGAAAGTCCAGTTACATGTCAAAAAAAAAACCTCGAAAAATGTAATTTATGTATATGTACATATATAATACATACATATATATATATCCGGTATTATTTTATAGTGATACTATTTTTAATTTATATTTATTTATTTGGCAAACAGAATGAAACAGTATATTTTTTTTTTAACTTTCGTACAACACACGACGAGAACGGGATATACAATAGAAAATGAGACGTAGGTACCTATAATATTCATCAGAAAATATAATTAATATCTCGCTAATTACATTCTATTCAACGTCAAATATTGACAATAATCATTTCATCCATCCGTTTAAATTAAATCAAGTTTTACATAATCTAATATTGGATTTAACTGTATATAATATGGGTAGACGTTACGTCATAGTCTTGTGTAATAAACAAATGTGTAAAATATTGACCATTCTGTTATGATTTATGACAGATTCTTCTTTCCAAGATATAACCGCCATTAAGTATTTTCATTAAAAAAAGAGCATCACCTGTGTATTTATTTTTATGTAAGAATAAATTATAATAAAGTCACTTGAAAAGGCTTTTAATGTAAATTTAAAGTATGGTACATTGGACACCAAGAGTACTGTAATTTATATTCATGTACACACATTAAATTGATGAACAGTTTTTAATTTAATTTACAGAGTATTATAATATAGTCAGTTAAAGAGTTAGTGGTTTTATGCACATTAACATTTGCCAAAATTCCATGTTAAAAAAGGCGTGACTAAATCTTTTTGGCACTTAAATGGTTCAGTTATCACGGCCAGCCTTAGGAAATTGAGTTCAAATAATAAAGTGTTTTTGTATCTGAAATCACAATACACGTTTCATTGTTTCGTGAATGATCATTAGACTTCATTATTAAACGCGCATAACTCGTTAGTGCTTTGCAAACGCATCGATCAAAATATTGTGATCGTTCGAATGGAATTACAGTGTTCTATTATACTTCAACTAAATCTTTTTGACCGACAATCATGAATAGATAAATAACATAGGTGTTCTAAAATTTTAACCGAAACCAAGAATAAGAATTTTTATTTTCAACGATTGAAAAACTTTAAAATTTTTTCTAATATCTACTTTGTAACAACATACTAACTATACCTATATTTTATAAGCAATTTAGAAAGCACTCATCCTAATTTTAAATGACAATATAATAATAAATATCTTGTCCATAAACATTTTTAAAAAAATTGTTGTAATAAAAATGTTAATATAACCAGTAGGTATATATTATAAACATTTTATATTTTATATTTATGATTTCAGTTGTGACAGAATGCATTTTTAAACTATTTTACAATAAAGAAAATAATCTTTTACAAAATCTTGCATTTTAAATTTTAATAATATTATAGACTGTATTGATTATTTTATAACATAGCAATACGTCAATAAATATTTACACAGTTAAATTTAATATTTATCCTTTGAAAAGAAAATTTAAAAACAATTTATTTAATTCAACTCAACAAAAACTTTTTTGTTGTGAAAAATCTATATAATTTAAATAATGTTTTACACTTTCACATTTAAATATTGCAATGTAATTGAAAAACAAACTACATTAAACTCTTATATAGGTACCTACTCTACAGCAATATCCTTTTTAATAATTTAAACCATTATTAAACTTTAGAAATTCCCTTGATGCTTTAGAAGAAAAAATCTTGTATGTATATTGTATAGGTATTTCAATTTAAATACATGCTTTTACTATTTTTCGATTTATATTACTTAAAAACGTGATAGAGAAATAACATTTTTCACACGTTATAACAAGGCACACGTCATATT